ACATGCATACATTTAACCTTATTTCTAATGCAACGTTGTTGCTCTCCATCCGGTGTGGGAAAGGGTCATCGGTCAAGTCGTAAAACTTGAGCCCAAATTCTCTCCCGAATTTGACGCCTTGGACAAAGGTTGACAAAGCTGCATGAATGCATCTTTGTCCATAGTTGAGCTGGCTCACAATATGAACCTTTATGCAAATAAGTGTGTATTGTCGATTTAAGCTTTTGTTTGTGAAAAGTGAAACGAGACGATGAGTTTATTTATACGAGACGAGAGACGAACAAAGACTGACGACAAGATGCTGCTTTCTCTCTTAAGAGAAGCAGCATCATCCCTAGGGCAAAATCACCGTTTTCATCCCAAAAGGGAGATTTTGTCCGTACATGAGGTTTTACGTATTTACATATCTAAATCATAATAAGACAACAGTAAAACGATCAGTTTTACGGCTACAGCAACCGTTTCCTCATTTACCACATCTTTCACTTTGGTTCACCACCTCATACCTACCTTGAAACTAGGTTCAAACTCTTGACACAAAGTAGCTGAGGCTACTTTGCGTAACTAAACCAATCGTATTTCCTAGTTATATTTGCTATTGTGTGATTTGCTGTATTAAAATTGTTTATTTTACGTTGATTCTCCATGTGTACGTTATATTGATGCTTGACCTTGACCCTGACCCTGACCCTACCTTAGGTGGGGGTGACCTTATACATACATATATGCAAACGTTTGACCAGGGTTGACTACAATATGTAATAGTATTTATATGTATGTATACACAAAGATAAAATTAGTTTCTAACAAGATTGCCACACCCAGTCGTAGTAGTGGTGTCCACATAATTTTACTTGCGCTAAACAATTAGATGCAATTTAGTGAAAACAGAATAGTCTATGCTGCCCATAATTTCCGTGGTGGCGAACGAACAGACAGATGTCCAGAGCGACCACCACCAGCCGCACTAAACAATTTAAATCGACACATGATTGAACTTCTTCAGAAATTGAGTATTCTGAGCAACTAAACCACTGTGAGTCTAAGAAGAATTTTTCTTATGCTCAGGAGGGAATTTGAGACTGACAGTGGCATACTTTCAACCAATTCTCAATTTCTGTAAAAGTTCAATCCTGCGTGGATTTAGAGTATCTACACTACATAAAGAGGATCCACTAACGAGTTGGACTGACGAAATAAAATGCTCAGAACTTTTTACACAGTTAATGCAATTTCCAAAAAGTTGCATATGTTTACTACCAAAGGGTTTGGATTGCCATACAGTTCAAATTTTAATGATTCAATTCCACTGTCTGCTACAGATTGCAGTTTCTTCTTCCGATTTCGCGTCAAATTCCGCCCATAGACTGCTCCTACTTTCAAGGTGATTTTCTTCCATCTGTTCTTAAATTTTCGCAAGGTGTCTAGCGTTTCTGAAAGCTTAGAACATTTGGACTTAGTCAGCGCTCAGAATTTCTCAATTGGTCGCAGTTGAGGAAAATTTGGTGGGTTTCCATTTTTTGGCACAAGTTCAATTTCTTTCAGATGTCGGTACTGAGTGACCTTTTTGGCGTCATGGGACCTTGCGAGGTCAGGCCAAAACAAAACTTTATTTTTTTATGATCTTTAGTAATAAAAGATTCCAATCCCCCTTTAATGCATGATTTAAGATAAACCCCCTGGTTTATAGTGCCCTCCAAAATAACGGGATCGGAAACATGACCAATGCAAGACATGCGTTGCCAAATTCTTCATCTTTTTGGGAATTGGTCTTTCTTTTGGACTTTGTCTTCATATTTTACTTCACAGGGGTTGGAAATATGGAAAAAATGCCTTCCTGGAAGATTTGAAGGGTCAGCTGTAACGTAGGGCTCATCGTCCATGATGACCACACTCTAAGAAATTTTATCACCAGCGCGGTGGTCATATGTGACTCTACCGGCAGGTGGCAGAAGACCACCGGAGGGTGGATGCCCATCACCAGCTTAGTGATGATCAATCACCGTGCGGTGGTGCAGTTGTCACCGTTCGGTGGTTGCAGCTGTCACCATTCCGGTAGAGTCACATATGACCACCGCGCGGTGATAGTTATCACCAGGTTTCTTAGAGTGCACGTTTCCCCGAATTTTCTTCAATTATTTCTTGCATCACATATGAATCATTTCATTTTGTGTTGGTTTGTAATTTGGTGCTGGTTTTTTTTCCCTGGCTATAATCCCTAGTTTATGGACTTTGATTTTGCTTAGATAGCTTTTTGAAATGTTGACCTTCCTTTCCGCGCCAGCCGTTGTCGTTGATGGATAATTTTTGAAGATTTTTTTATGCGATTTTCGACTTTTGTCGTCGCTAGCTTTGCAGGTCGACCAGTGGGGACTTTGAATTCGAGTTCATTGGATTCCTCGTACTTTTTTATGTAAGAGTTGACATTTGAATGAGGAATACCTTCTTGCTTGAAAAAGTGCCAAGTGATTTTAGAATCATAGTTTGTTCGATTTTTGTGAAACACGATCACTCTTTTTTTCAACTCTTGCCTTTCAACTCAAGTTATTCTAGCCTTAGCCATGACTCAATAATTGTTGACATATATCAATGGCAAGCTTATAACTTGATCTATTCAAAAATAATTTTTTCGAAATTTAATTTCGCTGTGTTCCCGCCTAGCGCGCATTTACGGGGCAGTCCAACTCGATAGTGGATGATCTTTATTTATTGCTCGCTGTTGCATATATCTAGTCACTTCATACAATTTTTCAGAACTCATCAAGATTAAAATCGGATGCAAATGGTTCCAGAAACACGAAAGAAACCTAAATTTTATCAAACATTCCTTCTGATATAGTTACAATATTGTCTAATTTTTTCTATTCTTTAATCCTACTAATTTGTATTATTCAACTGCAATTGTTCAAGGTGGCATGTAAATAGTATTTACACTAAAATAATCAATTGTACCGTATGATACAACGCAAAAGACAGACATTGGATCCTTATTCCCTTCGTTGCTGAGCAGAAGGGACCTATCGACATCTTCAAGAGGCGACAACTCTGTAATTGCTTTTTCCTATACTTGGACACATTTTGAAGTTTTGAAATTTCCAAAAACTTTTCAGACTTTACCGCTACCTCTACAATTACGGGAAACAAGGCGTGAATAATTCCAATGAATAAAGTTAGAAAAAATATGGCCATAATTGTAACCAGTATTGGCACAGTACAACTTAATTTGACTAAAATATATCCAAACCCGACACAGCAAACTAGTGCAACCAGCATGGAAAAGGGTAGTGTTGCGAAGGTGATGTGGTTTATGATTGTAACCATTGCTTGGAGTTGTCTATATTTGGAAAAGTTTCTAGGAAAGCGGACAATGCCATAGAATTTTTCAGAAATTCGGGATGTATTGAATTCTGTCGAGGTTTCTAAAGGTTTCCGATCTGTCATGACTTTCAAACAGTTGTGAATTGTCAATATTATATTTGTCGTGTTTATGACAGAAGTATAAATTATTATAGAGCCGTGAAATGTTGTGGTAGATATGATGAAGACTCTGAAAATTAGGGCAAGACTTGGAGAGAAAGTAGACAAATTTTGAAAGAGGAAGTAGCTCGGGTCCACGTTGGGGAGTAGGATGGGGATACTCGAAAATATGATGGCTGTTCCAAACGGTGCCGGAATCATGGCGTGCAGCAGTAATCCGAGAAACTTTGATTCGCCGTTCCCTTTAGTAAAAAAAAAGTAGGTGTAGTTCATAAATACTTTTAATTTGATTAAGCCTTACGTAGTTACAAAGTTTTCAAAAACTTGTCCAACTTAATAAAAACTGCTAAAAAATGTTTCAAAGTTTAATTGTTCATTAGGGTCCGACCTTAAATTACGTAACGCTGGAAGGAAGGGTCTAATGATATCGTGTAAATATATGTATTACACAGGTTAAAGGGAGAAGAGGGGGTTTAGAAAATCGCAATTTTTGCGTTATGTAATTTATGGACGACCCCTTAATAAAAACGTGGATGTCAAATTTGAAAAAAAAATAAATATTAAGTTTTTTAGCATACCCCCGATATCGACTGTGGATTCCTTTACGATCTGTAGATTTCCCAGCACGAAGCATAATTCCTTCACTTTGCAGACCTGTGTCATTATCACGACCACATCGTACGCGTAGACACAAACGTTCAGCATAAATAATACGCTGGTAACAATAGTAAATTTTGGGTCCTTCTGATGTGCCAAAATTTGCTGAAATATGATCCAAAAGTATGATACTGTTGTCAGGATGAGAAGCAAAGACATGAAGTACCACACACCCAGCTTTTTTCGTTTTGTCGGGTGTGGCTTCCATGAAGACCGATCCCACGTAAAATACTGACAATAGAGGGATTCGCTGAATATTGCGAAATTTTGAAGGGCCTGATACGCTGTGAAGGAAAGGGGGCACATTCTCCAAGATTTGGAGGACTTCATAAATTTTGTAATCATTGTGACCAATGTATGTAAATATGTATGTAGCTGCTGAAGGTTGAAAGAGGAATATTAAACTTAAAGGTCGAAAAGTCGTTCCAATTTTTATCTATTCTGCTTTTTACAATTGTCCGGGAATAAATTTGTGCAAGCCATGGAGCTTGTCATGTTCAAAATTACTTTAATAACCCTAATATCCAGTATTCTTTAAAAATATGTGTGGATTGCAACCCCAAATTATTTAGAAATATGTATGTATGTTCACATGCAGATATCAGCATGCATCGGTAAATGCCTGTACTTTGCTCAAGGGTAAATCATATACTTAACTGAAGCATAATTTTAACTGTATTTATGTACAACAATTCATGGTGTATGTATGTATGTATGTATGCAACTATGTTTCAGCAGTCAAATTTTCATTAAGTGTACCACAATTATTTTTCAAATTGTCGAAATTCACGCTGAGTACACAGGTCCGATTAATGTCTGCACCTACTATTATTATTTAGTATACTTAGACGTTCAGCAAATTGAAATTCTACCAAATTGAAATTTATTTAAAAAATTTGATAGTACATAATTACGTATTTGTTAAGCTCTAACACGCATCCATTTGAAACTATTTATTTACCTGTCAGATACAAAGTATGTATTTACTACTTCAGTATATAATTATTTGTGATTATGTTGGGGAAGCTGTTTATACATACATGTGCCATAATATGGCAAATCTAACTCAAAATTCTTAACTTGAAAGGTGAAAATCATCGCGAAAATTTACGATTTAGGAGAACTTAAAAAATAATTAAGGAACTAGTTAATAAATAATTATGAAAACCGGAAAAATCTGATTTATATCCAATTTATTAAAACTGAGCATTACATACTAATTTAAGACAGACATATATTTTTAAAATATACATTTGTATGCTCTCTTTTCACCAACCCCATTGAATTATTATGCAATATATTTAGATACATAACTGTCGAATTTAGAAAATGAGAGAATATTTATTAAATAAATATTTAGTTTTTATAACTCAAATCATGAAATATGTACTTGGGGCGACAGACAAGTCATGTTTCGACCAAATACCAGGTACGACACTCCATTTGTGACGGGTAGGACGGACTGTGAACAATCATGGAAGTCACATTTGGTTTCCATGTCCAGGCTGTCGTACGTGTAAAAAAAATCGGTCTCATTCTTTCTCACTGTCATTCTCGTACTCAAGGTATTCCCACGACGAAGGAGATACCATATTTCGCTACCTGGATCCTTCACATTGTGTGCGTATGTCCAGCCACGTAACATGCTGTACATATCCGAGCCCTCAAAGGAATAGGGCAGACTGGAAAATCATAAGTACATATTTACAAGTACGTACCTAAATCCACAAAACTTTTTTAACATTGGAATACTTATCAACCAAATACTCGAAATAAACGTTTTTCAAGAAAATATCAATTTTTTATATTAGAGTTTGGTTTTTGTCAAACACTATGTTTTAAATTGCAGTTGGGGAATCGAAAATGTTAGAAAACTCTTTTACCGTTGAAAATAATAGAATATCTGTACCCATGCACATTAATATGTAATAGGGAGAGCTATATAATTTCTTTAATATTTTCGGAATTCGACTTCATGTATTCGTAATTTCGCCCAGGTTGGGTGGGTGAAAAATGGATTTTTCCCACTACTGATTGGTCCATAAATTATGTCGCGCGCGAGAGGGGAGGTCCAAGCCTCCAATGATATCGTGCCTACATATGTGACACATGTTAAAGTGGAGAGGAGGGGGGTCTATAAAATCGGGATTTCTGCGTGACATAATTTATGGATTTCCCCTACTTTGGTCAATTTGGTTTTTACCAATTCAAACCCTGACGGACAAGCCAGGGACCAGAATATTTACATACATATTTAGATACTTGGTGAGGTGTAGCGCTGCGCTTGAAAGACCAGAGCCAGAGCGATACAACACAGTTTTTAGTCCGGAATTTAACAGTAATAGATTGCGACTTGACATTGCATGGCGTCGTGAAACACGTAAAACTTTAATGCATAGCCTATGCATCCTTTCTGAACAAAGCACAACTTTTTAAGAAATCACATCTTTTTTGAGAGCCAAACTTTTGACATTACAGATATTGCTTAAAATTTCCGAGCACTAAAATTTTGGAGTAAAACAAAATGCAAAAATTTTCAAGCTCATTTACTTATGTATGTATAAACGTACTCGAGATCATATTTACGAATTTCATCCTCCCTTGGTACGATGAATCCAAAGATGCAATTTTGTTTGCTTAAGTTAAGGCCCCATTTCAACGCGAGAGGAAGAGCAGATTGAAAGACGATTGTCGAAATTACAGGATGGACAACTTTGGTAAGAAAATATTTCGCTTTCCATGCGATGACGCTGTTTGAGGTTTCGTGAAGGTTGGAGATTTTATAGGCGAGGATGAACGGCTGCGGGACATTGTAGAGCTGACCGTTCGCAAGGACCGCGAAGTATAGGTCTTGGTAACCTAAAAGTTTCTGAAAACAAGTAATAAGCTTGTAACCATAACATTTCTAGATAATAAAAATTTGCAATTAAAATTTTTCATAAAAAGTCAAAATATACATGGAAAACTCAGTTTTCATTATTTTTTGAAACACTTGTATTTTTCTGAAAAATTTTGAGTGGGAATCTTGGAAATTTTGATGTAGAAATGATTACTCTTCAATTTAATGTATGGCCCTAGATCATTAAATAAATTCACTTTTATGAATTTACACTAGGGGATCTAGGGCACCATGCGATAGGCAGGGGGTGGTAGCGTTACATATATATACATGTACACCCATTGTTCAAAAAAAACTTTTTTCATTCAAAGTTCAGTCATCCCGGTTTCTGACTGAAGATTTCATTAACACTCAGCATTTTTCTTTCAACTCATTCCATTTTCGTCGGACTTCATTTCTTACTTCGCCCCTTGTATTAAGCATAGGGTTAAAAATGAATACGAAATAAAAATGAATAAGAGTCAGAAGTCCTTTCATTCACTGTCCTTCATATGATACATATGACGGAGTCTTTCCGTCATTTTTATTCATATAACAGGAAATTCAATCTCAATCAATATCAGTCAAATGAATGAAAGTGAACAGGTATGGGTACACCCCTGCAAGTGAGCGTGGTTTTGTTCGAGAAATTTATATCAACCACGTGCAAAAATAGCGGAAAAAAATTCATTACTCACATGCAGATCGTTCTTCAGTTCGGACAGAAAGTTCAAAAAGTTTAGGAAATAATCAGTGTTTTTCAGGAATTCGGGATAGGCTAACGTCACAATGGTTGACATCGCGTTGTAGGCACTGGTCCTCTTGAAGACGCCGTGTTCGTACCGGAACACAGCCTCAGCTATGGATCCGTAAAGTATTCCGGAAACGATATCTACAATTTGGGTCTCTTCAAGGGCACTTTCTACATTGGCGATGGCCACTTTTAGCGCGTATAAACTGGCCGCGACCGTGCTGAGGGAAAAGGTGAGTTCATCTATTTCCGGTTGTAGCTCGTTAATCGCTGAAACATCAAAATGGTATGAAATCGTTATATGTACAATTGTTGTAATTTCTTAATTTTAAAAATCTGAAAGTGATTAAAAAATTGATTAAAGTTTAAAATTGTACAATAATTACTCAATACTCTCAAAGAAATTATCCGCAATAAATATTCAAGTAGGAAAATATTTACTGCTTTTTCTATGAATTAAACAAGAAATGAGAAACAAAAAAGAGTTTTTTTAATTTGATAAATTGTCATTTTCAAGTTAATGCAGTACTTGAAAAACCCACGCTTTCAAAAATGATATAAAACGTGACTTAACTTGAAAAGAGTAAAATTGACTATAGATAGTACAGTTCGTTAAAAGGTTAATTTAAAATTGAGACTGCATTTAATTTTAAAAGGGTAACATTCTTTTTAAGAGCACATAACCAATTAAAATTGAACGTTACCCTGTTTGGTAGCGTTGTCCAGCGCAGTATTCAAAACCGCCATTTGCTCCTGCATGATGGCCACTGCCTCCCGAAGTTGATCCAGGTCACCGTCCGGATCAATACCTGCGATTTTGCCTGCAAATCAGTAATGCCCTGCTTCAACTCGTCAATCTGTTTTTGTACATCATCGCTTGGATCGGGTGGGTTAAAATCGGAGACAGACGTGAATGATAATGTAAAAATTTTATGCATTTTTGTATCGAGTGAAATATTGAGGGTATTCATTATTTCTTCGTCTCCTTAGTATCGTAAAATAAGTTGCGACGGTTCTGAGATTTTGTAGGCCTTGAAAGATTTTGTCATCGAAAATCGATTTTTACGAAATTTGGTTACGATTTTTACGAAACCTGACACCTTGTTTTTTCTTCGTAAAATGTGTAAGTATTTTACGATACTAAGGACACGAAAGGATAACGAATATCCTCATTGTTGGTGTAAAATTACATACGTAGGTGTTTTATTATTGATTTTCAAACGATATGTTCCGCACTGTTTGTAACCAAACTTTTGATGAAATAACAAACTTCAAATACATTTAAGAGGCTGTGATTTTTTCAGCTCAGTGGGTTAACATAAACACTAGCAATAAATCAGCAAACTTTACCTCGACGGAAAAATGTCATATTTGCAAATTAAATACCCTAGTGTGATTTAATTTTTAATGCTGGAGGGGCAATCCGTGTCGCAGATTTATGATTGTATGCTTAAAGTTTACGATGAAAACTGCCCAGCACAAAGCACAATATAAATTGGGTCAATAACTTCAAATGATGGCGAAAAGAGGTCAGGGACAAAAAAATCGCCAGGACGCTCAAAATCCGTTTCCTCCACAGGAAACCTCCAGAAACTAGAGAACCAATAATGAGAAATCCACGATTGAAACTGTCCAATTTAGCTGATGAGATGGGTGTTCGAAAACCAACAATTTGTTCCATGTTAACTGAAGACTTGGGTATCAAAATGGTTTCCGCCCATAGGGTACCAAAATTGCCCTCTCCATCCCAAAAACTGGATCGAGTCGACTTTTGTAATGAAGATTTTGACCTTTTAGATGAAAACTGGAACCTGATTTATACTTCAGTAGTTGGATATGATACTTGGGTTTACTACTGTGATAATGAGACCAAACTATAATCTATGCAATGGAAACACAGGGGGTCACCGCCGCCCGTGAACGCAAAAGTGCAAAAATCTACCAAAAAATGGAAGATGACCATTTTCTGTGAAACCTAAAGTACCCTCCCTATAAAATTTATTGCCTGAAATTAGTGTTGCCGGTGAGGTGAGCTAAACTCACCTCAACTCATGTGAGCTGAGTTATGAGGTGAGCTGAGCTTGCCTTAAATGAGCTGAGGTGAGTTGAGCTCATGAGCTAAACAAGCTGAGGTGAGTTGAGGTGAGGTGAGTTGAACTCACAAGCCAGCTCATTTAGCCAGAATCAGGTTTCCCATACATGGGGACGAGAATAAATGCGCGATTCTCTTCCGCTCGTACATAAGCACACAACCTGATGCCTGATGTAACACGTCGCATCTTTGCTCCTGTCCAATTAATTACCAAATTTTTTTTACACAATCAATACCTCAACCCCGATAAGGATTTCTTATTGCCGAAATTTTTATAAAAGTCAACTTTATTATAAATGTGATTGTGCTAACTAGGCAAATAAATGTCGTGAATATTTATGTAATCCATGGTCAAAGTGTCAATAATTGTGCATGTCGCAAATTTCTACTTCTTTTTGGCAGTAAATTAATACTATTAATAAAATCTTACCATTCGTAGGTGTTTTTTAAGTTTTTAAATAGGTTACACGGCATTAAAGTTCACGATCAGGTTGCAGATAATCAGACAGTGACAATTTTTGTATACTCTAGTAATAAATAGAATAGAACAAAACAATTCTAAACTGCGAACAGATTATTGTATAATGGAGTGTGATCTTTTGTACAAATAATACAATTATATTGAAATGAAAATCCACCTTTCAAATTTGTACAAGTTAAATCTGCACATATTTACGTATTTATCTGCGTGCGTAGAATGGTAAATGAGCTCAACTCACCTCAACTCATTTAAAGTGAGGTGAGCTGAGCTGAGTTTTAGTAAACAAGCCAGCTCAACTCACTTAACTCATTTAAAGTGAGGTGAGCTGAGCTTGCCTGAAAACTCACCTGGCCTCAGCTTGTGGCAACACTACCTGAAATACTACGATAAATGTGTCATCATATGCAGAAAGCCCGAAGGAGCTTCATGCTACGGTTGAAAAGAAACGTGGGGTCAAAGAAAAGAGTTGGGTGCATCTTTGACACGACAACGCGTCACCAAATACCTCGCTGGTTTCGAGGGATGCTGCAGACGAAAATCGCTTCACCGTCATAAACCACCTCCCGTACAGTCTAGATTGGACCCTTAGTGATTATTATTCGTTTCGAAAGTTGGACACAAACATCAAGGGGAAAGATGTTAAGGTGATAATGAAATCCAATCGTAAATTTTTGCTTATTTTCGAGGTAAAGTTTACTGATTTACTGCTAGTGTTAATGTTAACCTACAGAACTGAAAAAAATCACAGCCTGCTAAATGTATTTGAAGTATGTTATTTCGTGAAAAGTTTGGTCAGAAACAGTGCGGAACATACCTTTTGAAAATCAGTAATAAAACACCCACGTACATTGATTCGTGTAACCGGTTCGTGGACAATTTCATGGCTCCTAGTCCTTCAGAAATTGTGTCCACGGCCCGATTCATCTTTTCATCAAAGTTGTTGCAAAAGGTGGAATTGTTGGGAAGTTCTTGTCGAACGGCCCACTGTGGTCCCGATATATTTCCGCCGTTAGTCCTGCAACATACATATTTTACATAATATGTTATAAGGAAATATTATTTCCTTATTACATACTAGGCCAAATTATGAATTAGTGCATACATTATATTTGCTAATTTCATAATCCAGGTTGTTATTGTTTTATCAATTTGTCAAGGTAAGAAGTATGTACATAGGATGACGATTTAATGCGATATGCATAGATTTTTAATCTCATTTTTTCCCTGTGCAACCTTTTAAATTGTAAGTTTCTAAGTAACACCATCTTCTTGAGTTTTGATATCAATGGAATTTTCCATACTTTAAGGTAAAGTAATTTTTCTGTACTACAAAAATATTGATATGATAAAAAATATCGAATGGCGAATTCATTTTCTATGTATAACCGAGTAACTTCACCTTAATTAAATATATACATACCTCATTAAAATATGGACACCATTCTCGGGCAGGGAAGTCCATGAAATTAGAGTGGTGGCGATTGCATTCAAGTAAAACACGGTCACACCCTCGAACATTTTGCGGTTGGAAAATTAATATTAAATTCACCAAAACTTGTAATGCGTAATTAACAAATTTGTGGGGCAAGACGAAAATCAATAACACATCAATGTGTCACCTTATGAATTATGTTGTCGTCCCAAATTTTTGACACAAACTGAGTCAACAACCTCAGCGAGGTCTTATTTAATGGGAACATATACCCACCTCAGCATTTTATCAATACAAAGAAGCGTTTAATAATTAAATCTTTGACAAAAAGCAAATTCTCAATCATTAATATATTTAATTAACTAAGCTATTCATTCAATCACATTGTACAGTCATCAGAATCCACAAAAATAATTGTATGCACACCACAAAGCGATAAGTTTTTCATCCTCACGTACGTCAACCTATGTAGTTAACTCACGCTACCCGGAAATTACTTACGCAGCAATTTAATCAGATTAATTCCATCACTTTTCAATATACGTAAGATGGATCAACATAAGTGAGATCAACAATTTTTATTCATACAAATTTACGTATGCAATTTGTGTTGAATCACTTCCGTGTACAGAAAGAGTGACCTTTCAGTCCTAAATTACTGGATACGCCGCACTCTTTTTGCCAAATTTACTTCTGTAAATGAGAAAAATTTGACACTTTGTTATCCGCTATTACATATATTTTTTAAAACAGATGGTCAAGTTTTCCCATTTTAAGCGAAAAGGGCCATTTCTGTGTAATACATATGTAAATATTTAAATATGTATTTATATATGTAGTTGTTTGAGGCTAGGTTATACATGAAAGCGAGGAAGAGATCTCTGTAAATATGATATGTGATTATGCAATAATTTTTTATTGACTTCCAATAGTCAACGTTTATTTGGAAGAAGGCTGAAGTGGATAGTTGTGCTTAAAAATTAATTATAAATTTTTCATAACTTAGAAATGAAGAGAAAAAAAACATTAAACAATTTATAGTTTAATATGAGGATTTCTTAGCGGATTTTCTGACAGCCAGTGCCGCGACAAAGGTGGATTTAACTGGATTACGGTTTCCAGGCCGTACGGCCCGGAGGGCCGTACCGCAGCCCATGTGGGCACGGGTGGGATAAAATTTGTCGGGGTGAATCCCGGCACCGTGAAAAAATCAACGTTTAACCATCCCTCGATAAAAAGGCAGATCGAGTAGTCCGCATCGAAGTAGAATAAATGGTCCAGTTTATTAAAATTTCGTCCTATCGAGTTGGAACAGTAGGGATCTTCGTAGACATCTTTGGAACAGTAGTACACCTCGTTCTCGTTAAGCCAGACTTCTTGCCCGTGATGCACGTAGACAATTTTCGTGGGGATGTAGAAAATTTCAAAGGCCTTGTGCGGTGGGATGTGTGGGACGCCTTCTGATCTAGAATTTATATACAGGGTGGTTTAAATTTTTGGCTACAATAGACAATTTTTCGAGGGGAAAAATTCGTAAGGTTATGAAAACAATGTTATTAGTTATTATGTAATGTTATTAGTTATGAAATTTTGTATCTAAAATTCAGCCTTTATAGAATTTTGTCACAGACAAACATCATTCACGTTTTGTCACAGACATCGATCAGTTTTGATATGTAATAATTAATACCAATTTCAATCTTTTTGACTATTTCATGGAGATTTAGGAGCTTTTCCCTTCGAAAAATTTTCCATTGTAGCAAAACATTTAATCCACTCTGTACATGTAATGAAAATAAGAATGGCTCATTAGTGGTTCTCAAATTTAACGAAAAAATCAGATTTTTCTGCTCGTTGATTATCTGCTAGGTGACACGTGGGCGCCGATCGTACGAGGCCGATATTATCTATTTTACGCACCGCCGGCAGCATTGTATGTGTCGCTGCCGCTAAAGAAATTTTATTTCCTATCCTTGTACCATTGCGAAGCTGCGCCTCTGTATCGACCTCTCTGCGCATGCGATTTCGCTCAACATAGGATTTTCTTGCTGAAGAAAAACCACCAAGGTTTGAGCTAAGTTTTTTTCTTACAATTCTACTAATTCCGTTACTCTATCAACTCGTGAAACTTTGGATTTCCCTCAAAATGTCAAAAATCTTTGAGAAATATGATAGGTAAAAAATGATACCTTGGTAAGATTTGAGCAGCAAAAAAAATAATTTTAGATTTTTCTGCAATGATTTCTATAATTTGTTTTAAAGTCTTGAGAGTCCCTATTGTTTTACGTTTTGTGAAAACTTGTAGAAGTGTGGTGATAATTTTATAATAAACGTTATCACCAGACATTTGGTGATAACGACCACGACCATAATTTTAAGCAGAATATTACTAATACCAATAGTCTGGATATGCAATCTATAGATTGAATATCCAGACTTTTTTATAAACCATTTATTTGGATTATTTACTTACGCCCCTACCACCCTAATCATCGGGATTGGGAGGGCATTCATGTAGTCGGCATATTCCACATTTCCCGTCCTAGGCTGACCAAACGTTACGAGGACATAATTCGTGCCAGGAAATTGGTCCAGACTTGTCATCAAATAGACGAAAATGGACGCCATCGCTGCTCCAAGACTATGACCGGTTACGACAACGCGAAATCCCGGATTTCGCCCGAGCAGAGTGCCAACTTCTTGTACAACCTGAATAAAACTAAACTAATTAACCACTTTCGTAAATATTTACTACTAATTTTTTAAGCAAAATTTCTCTTCATAATTACACACATAACAGTCATTTCAAATTTGCATAAAAGACTGGTTGAAATATTCATTCCAACCAGGTGTTTGACCAAAAGCATGAAAAATCCCCTTTTGATCGATATAGCAAAAATTCCAAAAATTTGAGTAGAAAAAAATATTTTTTTAAATTTTCCATACAATTCCTCAGCTTTGAGAAACAATAAATTAATTCTGCGTACCGGGTTGTAGAGTGACATCAAGCTCAAATAAAGTCCTGTATGCACCTCGACTCCTTCACGCCCGAGTGGGGTTCCATACATTTGGTAGTCCAAAATCCAATTTACCATGCTTACCGTGCCCCTGAAAGTGACGACAATTTCGTCCAGGCCCGGATGCAGCGTGATCATCGCTTTAGTTCCGTAATTTTCATTGTAAAAGATCTTAAATTCTGTGACGGTCTGGTTAAAGTGGTCACAATACGGGCATGTCAGATTTGCCAGGCTTGTCGGACAGTAGATCGAGGCAGAGAAATAGTTGTAATACTCAAGCTCCTGGATGTTCAAGGGGACCGTTCTGGTAGTTTTGACTGGGCGGGAATAGTCGAAAACCGGACTATCCCATAGATTGGTGATCTCGCCGAGTGCGGTTGATACCTGGGGCGAAATAGAAACATAAGGACACTCTTAAAAATTTACTTATAATGCAAGTCTTTTACATCTGCAACTCAGATTTTAATGGGACCAAGTTTATTTTGTTCATAACAGAAAATAAGCATGCCCGTATTTTTGCATTTTTCCTAATGCGTTAATTGGAGCGCTAGGCACGAATTTTAAGCATCAGTATGCCCATCGTTAGTTAGTATTCCATTGGAACATGTGAATCAAACGTTTATCAAAAATTTATATATATATAAATTTTATTACATTTGATTCACATGTTCATTTTTCGTAGGCCTAAAGGTCCTGACACTTACATTATGTGGACACTTCTTAATCCCAATAATTCACTCTTTAACTTTCTAATGTTTTTTAAAAGATGCCGAAGTTTCTCAACTTATGTACATACACATCACATAATTTGCAACTCATAAAATTTAAATATTTAGTTTACTCACATCTCCAGTTAATTGAGCTTTCATTTCTGCGAACCTCCCTAAATAGTTGCCCTTTGTAGACGTTTCCTCATTTTTATCGGAATAGGCAGTATTTTTGGGATGACTAAAAAAGTAAAAATTCTAAATTATTTAAATATGTACATGTATTTAAGCAGGTCAGGTTTTATGTATTTATTTGTTACCATCCTCCATAAATATTGAACGGAAAAGGCCGGCATGATTTTTTCTTATGATTATTTTTCACTTTTTTAACACCACCAGATGCCCCTGCCTGCTTAATAAAAATTCCCGAATTAATTTAATATTAAGTTTCAATAAAAAATAAATTATACCATATTTATGTATTTATTTACTAATCATACTCACGTTACGACTTTTTGGTTGACGTGTGGAATTTAATTTTGGTTGAAGAAAGTAATTTGTCTGGTTGCCATTAAACTTTAAAGCCTCAGTTTTGCGCAATCTCTCCCTCGTGAAATTGACAATAGCAATTGATACGCCAACACTGGTCATGATGATAAGAAATTTGAAAATCTGTGCATTTAAAAAAATCTTGTAGATTGTGTTCTTAGGTCTACATAGTACTCAGGTCGGATTTTTCGCGTGAGGAATGGGAAAAAATAACATATGTATGTAACATTCTGTAATTGATTTTGAAGAAATCGGACCTCGAGTTTAATATAATTTGTAGTGAAATTCTAGTAATTCAGGTGAAGGACAAGTTTACTACAAAGCAAAACATCTGCAGCTTCACATGAAAAATCCGTCCTGAATACTTGGCTTCAGTTCTTATCAAAATATCGATATCAAACCTGATTCCAATGTGTCATTTCTGACTGATTGATTAAGTTCTCATTAAGGATTACAATCAATCATTGTTTTTCAGCTTTGGACAACATACGCAATACACTCGAATATAAATTTATATATTTAAATGTGAGACCACTTACATATAACTTGAATAACTAAACAAGTTTAGCTAATTAAAATTAAACAAATTTATAGTTATTATTAATATTATTAATATACTATACATAGATACATATGTATGTAAGTGACACTAATTAAATAAATCGAATTCGCCACAATTCGACATTAACTGTCAAATCTTTATTTTTAATATCGAAATTTGTTTAACTTGCACTACTTATTTCCATGCGTGCTGTCACGTTACTCAAACACAGGTCAAACGACAAATGACAGATTTCGATATGTGCGATTCAAATGTGATCTAATCAAGATCGCAAACTTGACATTTATTATTTGTGGAAGCTTTTATAATTGATGGGATTTGACGAATAATAAATGTATGAACAACAAAGACAAGAACCATCGCCCAGACTAAATATGGAAATTAAGTACATATGTACTTAATTATAAGGTATACGAAGCTATGGTCGAGGAATTATAATTAAAGACATTTGTACAAAAGAAATTCATGTAAAAATATCTTTAATTTTAATGCCTCGATCATAGGACCACTAGGTGGAAAAATTTGGTGATTTTTATGATCTTATAAAGCAGAGCGGTTTATCGTTAAATCGAGATTTTTACATTATTTTCAAATTTATGTATTTCGCCAATTGAAAAATGGCATTGGAAACTTGCACTCTACGTAAGTAGTCCGGTAACAATACAACAAGGTATTACTGGCCGGAGTACGTATTTATGTATGTACAGTATGTAACTTATTTAATGCTACGATTTTTAATTTCAAATTCAACTTCAATTTTCCCAAGAACAGGTAGATATTTCAAAACTGTTTTCATACCAATTATTCACCATATATTGGACTACATTGAGGCAAATTTTCAGAGGAATGGAGATAGAACGGTTGAATCCACAAATATTTTAATGCCAAAATATTGCGAATTGCACGTTACATAATTAATGCTACGATACACAACCGGTGCAAATTTGCCGTTTTTCATAAATACGGAGCAGAGTTTCGAATGGACAAACAATTCTGTAGTATTTCTACTACAGATGAACATAATCTGCCGAATTATAATAAATAAATAACACCGTTCTCAGTATCAAAATATTGGAAAATTGACCTGTCTCCATTAATAACGTCTAAATTCAAGGAAACTTCGGAAATGATTTAAAATACACACCGAATCTGTTCCAAAACTCGCGAAGGAAAGGAAAACCACAGGAGCTGTAGCGAATTGTCATCGTCAGGGTCGAAAACCCAGTAAAACAACACACGCGGACGCGACGATTGTAAAAACAGTGACAATAATGCTTGTCTGTCCGCGCCAGAAATTGCGAAAGATGTTCAAAGTGACCGTTTTACTGCTCTACACCTATGAATGATTAGACGCAGGCTGATATTCGCAGGAATATCCGGGGAAATTCCAAATTCTACACCATGCATCTTATGGAGCAACCACAAGAAACACTTGGGGTGGGCAATGCAAAGCGAAGATGATCCCATGTCTACCGGAAAAAATTTCTGTTCCCAGATTAGACCATAATTCAACTTTTTAGCTCAGATGGAACGGTAAGAGTGTGTTTGGAGCCCAAAGAAGTTTCAAGGAATTAATTTCTGAGACAAATTATCGAACATAGCAGAGATAAGGAAATCTAAGCTGTGTGAACCGCTAAACCCTGGTATGAAACTTTCGAAATCTTCCGGGGAGGTCAGGTTTTGGGGCAGTATATGTTGCCACAGGGTAGTAGCACTGACGTACGTCGATGGGATCTTGATCAAAGAGGTTTACCTTGCTTTGTTAGAAATAAGTCTTGGCCAATTCACAACAAAGAAAGACTCTGGTCAGAGAATTATTTTCAACAATGGCCGGATATTAGACAAATATTACAAAAATCATCTTAAATGCCTCAAGGATAATAATATAAAGGTTTTGGACTGGACACTAAAATTTCTTGACCTCAACTCGATCGAGCATAACGTAAAAACCCTGCGGCGTCTGGTGACAACACCAAAACCGATAAGCACGGCTCCCCGACACACCGTGATAACAGAAAATAAATAAACACCGACCATAGCATAACCGAAAGCTTGGTGGATTAGATGCCCAAACGATTTCAATCAGTTACTGGGGTCTAACGAAATATTGAACCGCTCCTACCCCCGTAGCATTAATTATGTAACGTGCAATTTGCAATATTTTGACATTAAAATATTTGTGGATTCAGCAGTTTTATCTCCATTCCTCTGAAAATTTGCCTCAATGTATTCCAATATATGGTGAATAATTGGTATGAAAACAGTTTTGAAATATCTACCTGTTCTTGGGAAAATTGAAGTTGAATTTGAAATTAAAAATCGTAGCATTAAATAAGTTACATACTGTATATACATAAGCACATACATATGTACATATATACATACATAAATATGTGACTTTACCGACAAACTAATACATTTATTACTGGCTGGTAGAAATGTGTTTTAAACAAACTGATAATATTTTTGAGTTCTGTAGTTGGATTTATTATTATCGCGGCAGTAAATTTACTGCCAGTCGATTATTTACAAATTTATTACTATATCGGTTAATTGTATACTCCGGCTGGTAATACCTTGTTAACGAATTATTTAGAGCTTGTGCGAGACGTAAGGCTGTTCTCGTACTTCATTTATTTCGAATTTCTAGATATTAATTAGAAAATTTCTAATAGAAATTATTTATTAAATTTCTATGTTTAAATTTCTAACTAAATTTCTATATATTAATTTCGATTAAACTTGACACTTTCAGAAACCTCTAGATAAATGTCGTCTCCTAAATTCAAATCAGGGTCTTTTCCCGCCCCTTGCTTAATCTTCCGCACAAATCCTAGCTTCTCCCCTAATACGACCCACGCGTTCACCTCGGCCGGCCTTGCCTTTTTCCAGCTTCCCCCAATGGCCGCGTATTTCACCAAATTGGGAAACATTTCCACCGCCCTGTCCCAAAATTCGGAGGAATCCCGCCACTCGCAAGACTCACCCGTTACCTGCCTAAACTTCTCCTCGGGCGGGAACGGGACATCTAATCGTTTCACACTCTCACCCCGCGAATTACCTTTGCGGAGGAAAGATTTGTACAAAAATGACACACTTGTCTCGAAATATTCCCCCACCGACAATTTGTCCATGGCCTCTGTGGAAATATCTTGAACAAGGTGGGACTTTGAAATCCTGATAGTTTCCAGAACGGGGAATTGATCTTCGTATACCAACCTGTTAAAAAAATATTTCTTCATTTAATTTAAAAATTGGGGAACATTATTCATTAAATATTCATTTATTCAAGACTTGACAGTAAATATGTACTTTTTTATTATTCATTTGATCTAAAACTGGTTTAAGGATTACTTGAATTTCTCAATATAACGCATATTTATATTAGTCATAGCGTGAAAAATGAATAAAAGTGGTAATTTACTCTTCATGAATATGAAATGAATAAATATTTTTTGAAATGATATTCATTCAATTTAAAAATTGGAAAAAATTATTCATTCATTATTAATCATTTTATCTAAAACCCGCCTTATTAGATAGATTTCTCAATATACCCCATATATGTATGAATGTATTAAGCATACCGTGAAAAAATAATGAATAAAATTATTCATTCATTCCTTACGAATAAATATGGAATGAACAAATATTTGTTCAATATTCATTAATTCATTCAAAAATTGTGAAAAAACAATATTTCCTAAATCTTCATGAATTAATCAATGAATAAATAAATTACTCATTCTTTATCTCATAAATGAATGTGACCAGGTACACCAACCTTCCCGCGGGATTGTCCTCTCCTCCATTAAACTTCAATACCAGCCTTGGCGTCACGACCGAATTTCCGTACTTTCTACGATCCGTCCACTGACTTTGAACTAGTTCAAACCCCCTTAATTTCCTCATGGCGGGAAGAACTATGCTATAATCGGCTAATTTAGCATAATCCACATCAACGTTTTTAACCTCGGAAAATTTAACGTGTTGCAACGTTCCCGCGACAAACTTGAGCACATTCGACGTATCCAGAGGACGCCGAATTCCTAACTCGAGCCGGGTAATATTTTATGCTACCATCGGTCGCAGTATCTTGACACCCGCCAACTTCAAAAATGTCACCGTCCTGGGGGGAACGAAATTGAGGGGGTTTTCCAGCACTGACCAACCCACGTTGGAAAACGCGAGCCCGATCAGATTCGGAAAAAGGGGGATTATTGCCGCGAAGATGGAGGAAAGTTCGGCCCCGCTGGTCACATCACTCGTCGCGAGTTCTAGTCTCTTTACCTTCGAGAAGGAAACCGTTTCTGGCGCGAAGATCGTCTCATATGTGGAAAGGGACAATAGAGTTACATGTAATTTAAGCGAGGTCACGTGCGGGAAGGAATTTGCGATGAAGTGCAAAGATTCTAGACACGTGGGACGGCTTGGTGGGAATAAATTTGTCGTTAAGGTTCTCACTTTGTGGGCGTGGTTGGTAAGGAAATTTTTGTAGAGGGGGTGATCTGAGAAGAAATAGAGGCACACGTTTCGCGGGCAGTTTCCTCGGGCGGTGACAACTGCGTCGTCCCGGGTGATATTTTGGGGGATTAGGATAAGTCGGTCGAAACCGAGGAGAATTTTGCGGACTTCGGTTTCCCACGTGGAGTTGATTAAGGTGCACGTGAGGAGGGAAGATTTGAGAGAAAAGTGGCAATCTTTGCTAATATCTGGAAGTATGTAGGTAAGGACGGATTAGGTATTCAAATTTTCGATTATTATGTAAATATGTATTCAAACGTGGTTTCGCTCACTCACTCATAACTTAGGTAACTAAATACGTATATACATAGGTTATACAATTAATACGGTAAAATAATAGTTTTTTAATTGGATTATGAATTTATGGAAAAACTAAAGTTTTTGCTCTTGAGTTTGGAGGTAGTTCCTGCGAGGACTCTAACTGATACACAGTTAGAGTTCCTAGAAAGTGTATTTGAAAAACAGCCAACGCAAAACAGATGAAAAAGTGAGATTTTGGGAGCACACACGATTTCGTGCATTTTCTGCCAAACGTGGTGGCTGCAACTCTCGCCGTCACCACCGCTTATATCCAGATATCCTGGCATCAAAAAATTACGTTCGCAGCACATAGGTGGCGTCCGCACCCCTATTTGAACATATTCTCGCCAATTTCAGAGTCGCGTCTCCCGAAATTTGATGCTCTACGATGGTGTGCGTTGTGCCAAATAGGGGTGCCGACGCCACCTAGGTGCTTCCAACGTAATTTTTTCATGCGAAGATATGTGGATATGAGCGGTGGTGCACCACCATCGTGGGGCGAAGCACACACTGCTCGGGCGTGCAGCAGCTACCACGCGCTGCGTTAATGCTACCAATAGGGGGTCAGAAATCGTACCTCTATCGTGGCGTTTTTCCTTATGCACTTTCCACGAACCCTTCCTGGCTCACTCCAAATAAAAAAGCCAGGTGGGTTCGTCGCGGGAACTAGTTTAGAGGGGCGTTGTTTTGCAGATTAATTCGATCCTACTACAACTTGTGTCAGTTTGTTCGATTTAAACAAAACTTTAAAAATCCAGACTTGAAGAATTTTAAAAATTTACGCCCTATTTTTAATTTGTAACTCTTCTCAACGTAAAAAAAATTGAGCTCAAGTTTTACGAATTTTGCAGGTCCGGATTTTTTATACAAAAAATCTGTTTTATCATGTAATTAATCTCTAAAGCAAACTCCCCATCCCCCAAGTGCCAAAACCTTGTACGCATGGGAACGTCCATAAAGTATGTCACGCAAAAACGTGGATTTTTATATACATATCCTGCCTCCTCCTGGTCACAATTTACGCCTCATTTTAACAAAGGGCGCAAATGGGCTTTTATACTCCCTTGGCTGTGTTATAATTTGTGGACATCACTTAATTGCATATTTATACCAATAATTATAACAATTAATGTACATAACTAGGCAGATATGTGGAACTGTGAGTAAATTTACATATGTACCTATGTATGTATTTACATATATGTAAACATTCAATTATTTACCTCGGGAAGTACCACGGTGAGATGAGGGTTGTCTTTGTGTTCGCCATAATCCATTTCTGTGTTGCATGATACAACTTGTATGTATACGAAACCAGCTAAATAAGTAAATGTGTATGTACATATGTATCCTCACAAACATGCCGAAATTTTGCAACATGTAAATATTTAGCAATCTTTGTCTCAAACTAAAGTAACCACAAACCTTATGTGCATACGTTTGTATCTCTTTACGTAATCAGGGTATGGAAATTCACAATTTCACAATTACACAAATTACACTCAAATCAAAACGAAAAACCAAATTATATTCACAGAGAAAAATCGGCTGGCTTGAAATGTCAAAAGATTGGACGGTGGAGGTGATGGAATGCTGACCAGCGTGGAAAATGTGACCCTTTGTACATTCATGAAACCTTTTTTGACAAAAATAGATTTATGGCCAGAGGACAGATATGTGTATATGCTGTTATTTTTAATTTTTTCGGTTCCTTAATTCCACATTAGACAGGTTGAGCAAGAGTACAATATTGTAAAAAAATGATTGTATGTTCTTGAGGTTGAGCAAGAATATTTTATGGGAGGATTGTAATTCTCATTAATTTCCGGCGGCAGATTTGAAATTCCTGCAAGTTGGGTATATGAGTACAATACAATGCTGCCTGGAGACGGAGATTTGTAATCCTGAGTTTGACTAAAAGTTTGACTAATGTTTTGACTAATTTTCTCGCTGTGTTTACAATCGCAAAATACAATCATGTACTCTTGCTCAACCTGTCTATTATTTAAGAGGTTTATCAAATCTTTACTGGAATTGAGGCGAGGTGTGGAGATTGTATGAATGAGGCTCACCTTATGTGCATATATCGTGTTGGACGTACATATGTATAGTGTGGTCTGAAAGGTGGGAAAGTCCAGACAATTATTTTATTTTATCCTACTCAAATTCATGCATTCATGCAAATTTGATTAGATTATTTTCAAACATGATTTCCGACTTGGCTACGCTCATTATGAACTGACAAGTAATTATAAATGGGAGATTTGGGCAGCATTATTTATCAGGTACAAACCATCCTTCAAATAGTCGGACTTGAGGACCGTTCATAAATTATGCCGTGCAAAAATCGCGATCTTTTCCCCCTTTTAGCATATGCACGATCTCATTGCATCCTTGCACTCTTACTTCCCCTTTCATGTTACATAATTTATGAACGCGGGAATAAAGCCCTATTTTGAAGTACATTACGACTAATTATAAGTGGTAAATCTTGGCAGTATTATTAAGTAGCTTCAGCTACTTTATGTGAAGACTTTGTCTGTCTGTCTGTCTGTCTGTCTGTCCGTCTGTCTGTCAGCAGGATAACGGGAGAACGGATAAAGATAATCGAAATCGGTTTTCGCCATCATACATAATACCCCAGGGGGAGGATCCTATCAACTTTTGGGTGCAACCGGACCACACCCCCGGTCGCCAGGGGGTGTGGTCGGGGCAAAATGAGATTTTTAGTGCAATTGAATCTATGGATGAAATGGAGTGAAATTTTGAGTTCCCCCGTTGTGCCACACCCCCGGGCGCCAGGGGGTGTGGTCGGGGCAAAATGAGATTTTTGAAAAAATTGAATGCATAGATGAAATACAGTAGAATAAAGTGCTCCCGAGTTGTGCCACACCCCCTCGTCACTAGGGGGTGTGGTCGGGGCAAAATGAGATTTTTGAAAAAATTGAATGTATAGATGAAATACAGTAAAATCAAGTGTTCCCGCGATGTCGTGGGAGTGCTTGGAGTGAAGTAGTCTGAAGCTACTTCCGTATGCGCGTTTGCGACGGTTTATTTATCAAGTACATATGTACGTACATATGTACAACCATTGCTTGGGGGCTGTTCATAAATTATGTCGTAAAAATCGCGAATTTCTAGACCCTCCCCCATTTAAGATGAATCACACATGCACGACATCATTCGAGACGTGCATATGTATAAACCTCGCTTTGCCACTCTCGCGTTACATAATTTATGAATGGCCCCTTGGGGTAAATAATGCATTAATTAATTTTGGCGTGTGGAGTCCAAGTTCCATGATTTAATAAAGAGTGTTCACAATTTAAGGTCGATTGTGCAAAAACGCAGAATATTGAGAAGATGTTATTTAGTTATGAATCAGGCTTAACTCTACGTACATAAGTCATCATAAGACTCATTAAGTAATGAGTTAAGCGTTGGGTCAGGAAGGTGAGTCATTGGTACCACAGCGCGTGTTATTTCTTGACTCGTCAGGCTTGGTAATGCTTGGGTTATTAACACATAACTTCAAGGTTCTCTCGCATGCATGTCTTACAATATTGTAAGACACTTCTGATTTAAGAAGTGCAATATCAGCTATTATGTATTTGTTAAAGATACATACATGCCGTTTTCGGGGTCTTAACAATCTTAGTGAAAATTTAAGTCCAATTAATTCATGTAATTATTTATCCAGAATATGTATCGTACTCGTGACATTAAAATAAGGTTGCTTAATTAGTTAAGTATGTCATTAATTCCTAATTACTTTTCTTGACTCTACTGTAGAGGAAGTAATTAATCACAAATGTATTACAGTTTTTTATAAAGTCATGCAGTTAGGGGTATTAAAGAACTTACTTTAGACTAGGACGTGGACCACGCAATTTCAAAATTTGAATCGAATCGGGGAAATACACTTCACACCATCGCATTGTAAGTAAAATATTTTAGATTGCTAGATTATTAGATTTCGTTATCACATTTAGGCGGTTATGATTTTTTTGTAAAATCTAACACCGCGTTGGGTAAATAAATTATTTAAAATAATGCATGAATTATTAAGTAGCTTCTACTACATACTTCTTGTGAAGAGTTTGTCCGTCTGTCCGAGAGCGAATTGAGATAATCTAAATCGGTTTGCGGCATCGCACACATTACCCCAGGGGGAGGATCAGAGCAACTTTTGGGGGTAATGGGGTGTGGTCGGTGGAAAATGAGAATTTTACTGAAATTGGGTCT